GCTTTACCGTATTAACAGGAGAAGAGGAGCAAGTGAAGTTAGACACTGTTGTCGGACAACATGCAGGGATTTATAAATGTTTTAAATCAGGTTGGGTCCGGACTGCGGTCCGCTAATCCCTGAGCTCTGCCATAGTTAATACCGTTGAACCCTTTAGTTTATCCCTTTAGTTTTGCAAGAAAATTAGACTTTAAACCACCTCAACGGGTGTGTATCCCTTTAGTCATGTACAAAAAAAACATTTTTATTGCTTACTTTTTGGTGTTTTTTGAAAATTATGGCGATCTGACCTTAAATTGTTTGTTTTTTTTGTATATGACTAAAGGGATAAACGGGACTAGCATATGCGTGCATATGCGTATCCAAATCTGATGTCTTGCACATTGACTATGGGTATGCTGGTCGGACAGAACATCATCCGTCACATTAACCTGAAACCTCCCGCACTGGGACATGGTGGGGGCAGCGTCATGCTGTGGGAACATTCTGGCTGGCAGGTTCTTAGGCTTTTTTAAATATAAATTTTCTATATTTTGGGACAATATTGTCTGATAAAGAGTACATTTATATACATGATTAAGCCAGAATGAGTTGAAATTGAAATGTGATTTCCCTACAACTTTAAATATGGACCAAAATGAAAGGCGGGTTTAGCTTGATGCTTTCTCACTCTTGACCAAATGTAGTCAAACTTTCTGTCTAATGTCTAATTCTGAACATAACAGCATGAAGTCCTTTATCAAGTTTGAGTCTCATAGAAAAAGATGTTTAATTATTAAATGTTTTCAGGATTTATGTCCTTAATCTGAATCCCATATTCTGTCCTCTCATTCTGTCTGGCCTTACAGAGAACAGGAAACAGATTCTTTACCTTTAGCTTTAGTTTCATGAAGGAAACACGTCCCTGATCTGAGGTCAGTGATTTCAAGAGGGTTTTAAAAAAGAATGGCTCTTTGGTCATTAGTGAGAAGAGCAGTCACTCTGTTAACTCCCATCACATGAGAGCATCTCCCATCCCCCTCCCTTTGTTTAATAAACCCCACTGTGAGAAAATCTGTGACAAAGGCTGGAGATCAAAAGTAGCTCGGTTAGTGTTGCAATACCTATAATACTTTACTGCAAAGTAAAGTATTATAGGTATTTTCTTATAACTTAATATTCTTTGCGATAAACTATCGCAAAGAATATTAAGTTATAAGAAAATACTTCTTCTCTTAGAAAACTATCACACTCTGAAAGCGCCGGTGAAGAAAATAAAAATAAAACTGACAGCAGGACCAACTGTCTGACCTAATAGTCTAATGATAAGAAGTCCAATAATATGGAGTCAACTTTGTTCCATCATTTTTGCAAAAAGAGGGAAACGTTTTTGTAAGTGAAAATAAAAAAAATGAAAAAAAAAATGAGGTTTTAAGTGTGACTTTTTGGTTTTATTTTTTTAAATAAATGTTTTACATTGAATTAATTCTGTCCTTTTTCAAATTTCATTTTTACAAAAATGTTTTCTTTTTTCAAATTACATAACTTTACATTTTATTTTTTTATTTTATGTTTTATGAATAGCATTTTATTCTAATTGTATTTTTTAGATCACATTTTTTCACTCCTGTTTGCGGGCTTTACTCTGGAGCAGCTTTTCTATTGGTCTGCTGCACATCAGCAGTTTTTTATTGATCGATAGCGAGCGTTCTGATTGGCTGGAAGTGAAGAAAAGTATCTACAATTCTTTCTGCCACTTCAAATATATCTCCTACATAAAATAAATAACTTTTAACATTAATCCACAAAGTTATGATTCTGATAAACTGAATAATTTAGTATTTTATTAAAATAGAAGTATATGGAATGAAATATCTCAAGTAATAAGCCTTCATAATTAACATAATTAGAAATATTTAAACATTTTATAATGAAATAGTTTGCCTGTTAACAGATAAAAGGCTCATAATCTTAAAGTCATACAAACATTTTGTGAATTTTGTCTCTTTTTCGTTTCTGTACAGTAGAGTGTAAGTAAAACCGATTTTATCCCATCTGAAATATAAACAGTTTTTATTTTGCAGCCTTGAGGATAAAAGACGTTATGCTTTTTTAAAATTAGCGCCGTTTCACCGACAGACGGATAAACGGCAACAGAATTCGTGATCCTGCCATACATTTTTAATCTGCTGCTATTCCGAGAAGCGAAGTACTCGAGCAAAGGCCTGAGTTACACAGCAAACAGAGGAGAATATCAATAGTCGCTCTATTTTTACTACCGCTACCCCAGCAGGGAGAATGCAGACCCATGCAGCTTTAGGTGCAGCTAAACAGCCTGAGTTGGAGTGTAATCTGACCCTGTCCGTCCTCCCATACTGCAGAATCAGAGCTCCTGTTACACAAATGATTGTACTGTAGTACGCCTCAAAACCATTTCTCAAGTTGGGACTAACAAACTGGAGGCTGTTGGTATAAATCCCCTTAAAAGGAATGAAAAAGAATTTAGATTCCCTGCATTATTTATTCCTCATAAAAAATTTCACATTTTCTGACATTAAAACCATCAACTGTACTTTCATATTTTTTATGCTTTGCTGAAGAAAAAGAAAACATATTTTCATTCAAACGAACAAAAACTACAACATTTATAATCAGTAAACTAAATATAAACTATATTTAACTATAAACTGGTCCTATAATCACTCTATTACAGATGGAGTAATGTAACTAAAGTAATCCCTCCCTGGGATTATTAAAGTATTTCTGATTCCTGGTTGAGGGGACAGGTGTTGAAGACCTCTGCCCTAGACTATGGAGTAAACTTCGTTCCATTATTGTTGCAAGCAAAGAACACGTTTTGTAAATGGAAATCTGTCATCCAAAAAAAATCAGACTTAAACAAATGTCTTAATTTTCAAAAAGGTTAGAAAGAAACATCGCTATTTTCACAATTTTATTTTATTTTTTCAAATTGTTTTACTTTTTATATTTTTCTTACCTTTTTTTATCTAACTTTTAAAATTTTTTTTTTGAAAAATATATATTTTCAAATTCCTTATTTCAGATTAAGTTTTACCAGTTGCATTCCTCTTAAAGAAGTTTTACAAAGTTTAATATCTAGATTTAATTTCTTCTCACATTTCCATTTGTTCCATTTACAGAAATAATGGAACCATTTTCACTCCGCAGCTGCATCAGTAGGAATGTTTTCATCATGTTTAATTCTCCCTTCACCATTTATGCAACCTGCTGGCTGAGCCTAATGATGGGTGGCTGCTAGATGAGGTCTCCACCGTGACAGATTGCCATGGCAACCATGTACCACTAGCTGATGAAGAAATGAAACCAAAATGAAGCAGCTGGGTGGAAACAAAGAGTGTAGCAGGTGGCAGGGCAAAGAAGATGAGGATGATGAGGAGGAGGATGATGATGCAGGTGGATTTCAGGGTACCAGTCTGGAGGTGATGTCCAGACCTGCAGAGATGCGGTGGGAGGAGGGGAGGGGAGCTGTTCAGGAAATTCCGGTGCTGAAACTGAAAGCAGCCATGAATGATGCAAACCGACCTGCTGGATCTTTAACAGAACTCTGGTTCTGCTTCTGCTGCAGGAAGTCTGGATAAACGCCTTCTGATGCGGGACTCACAGTAAACAGTGGAGCCTCGCCCCGCTCCCCGCACCGCACCGCAGAACTCACCACACAGTGCCATAGGCTCCAGAGCCCACCGGCGTCAGGTTCTGGTACCGCTCCGGAACCTCCCATACGGTCTTGTTCAGCTCCTGCCGGTAGAATCCGGGTCTGGCTGACATTTTTATTTTCTATCTACCAGCTATAAAAAATAAATAAATTAATAAATAAAAATAAA